TGAAAAGAAACTTAGAACAGAAATTGAAAAGTCTCTGATTTATAAGGATATAATAATTTTAAGTAAATCTAGATTAAATAGATATTTTAAATCTAGTCTGAAACAACACAAAACAAACTCAGATATTAAGTCAACTGAATACAACAGTGAAAATAATCATGTTCATCTTCCTAAATTAGAGATTTCTAAATTTTATGGTCATGTCAGTCAATGAATAAGTTTTTGGAATTCATTCAAAATTACAATACATGATAATATTGCCTTTGAAAATTTACTAGAAGATTCTTTAGTAGTATTAATTGAAAAAGAAAAAGTACTGTGTAATTTAGGTGAAGACATTGTTTCTTTTATAGATGATGAAAAGAAACTTGAAATGGAAATTGAAAGTTATATGAATTATAAGGATAAATTAATTTTATGTAAATCTAGAATAAATAGATATTTAAAATCTAGTCTCGAACAACACAAAACAAATTCGAGTATTAGGTCAACTGAATATAACAGTGAAAATCATCATGTTTATCTTTTCAAATTAGAGATTTCTAAATTTTATGGTCATGTCAGTCAATGGATAAGTTTTCGGAATTCATTCAAAATTGCGATACACAGTAATATTGCTTTTTGAGAGTAGAAAAATTTAATTACTTCAAATTTTACTTAAGTGGAATTGCCATCAGTGCTATAGAAGGCTTTTCAAGATCTGAAGGAAATTAAGATGTAGCAGTACAAATTTTAAATACTAGATTTGGAAAACGTAATGTTATCATAAATGCACATATGCAGAAACTCCTAACCTCCCTCCCATTTACCGATCAAGTGACATTCTAAAATTAAGAAAATTATATGATGCTATAAAAATTCAGGTTCAAAGTCTTTCTTCTTTAAATGTTAATCCCAAAATTTATAACAATGCGTTAATCCCAGTTTTGGTAATTTTCCGTTTCACCGGTGCAAAGCTTGCCAAGTAGACTTTATTTGCGAAAACATACAGTATACGCATAAAGAGTGTTGACAAATGTTAGTTCTAAGAATTTTTTATTTTGAAGGTATGAACATTTTAATGTCATTTAAAGTTTTGTAAAAAAGCCAATAAATAAAGATAATAAATTTGTAAAACAACATTAATTTAAGAATTTACTATGCTTTAATCGCACAACATCCTGATTCGCCAGTTCATATTATCATGTGACTCCAAGTGATCTCATCTCACGTAAAACACGCTACAAAAATCTAATTCTCTCAATATAATTATCTACATTAATTTCAAATTATATCTTAATTTGGAATACAATTTTAAATGCAAGAATTATTTTAATTCGTATGAATATCTTGTTCAGAAATTAAAACCACAGTGCTACTTCGCTAGTGCATTTTCATTAGACTTGATGAACCCTTGCCTTTACTACGTTTTTGCCATCGAGTGAGCAGTTTGATTGCATCCTAATTGACTTAATTACCACCCACGAATGGCCATAGGGCATAAAATTGAACTATCTGGTAAAAATTTTATGTAATTGTATGCCAGTATTGAAAGAAACAATCAATCTGATAAGAAATGGCTGCGACTTGTTTTAAAAATGTAAAAGTAAAAGGTTACCAGCGAGGAAATTTCGTTTGGCATCGGTTGTACAATTACTGGCGACTTTATTGCTTGCGCTGGCAAAACGGAAAAGTACCCCAGTTTTATTTAGAGTTATTCCAGTAGATTTAGAATTCGAAAATAGTTGCAGGAATGATAATGAGACATGTTTTGATATAAACAAATTTCTAGAATTTCTAATAAAAGAATTGCAAGCTCAAGAAAGAGCAAATACATTTAATTCAGATGATAGAATGGCAATAGAAAGTCAAAAGTTGCAGTTTAACCCCAACAAGCCATTACGAATAGATGTAGATTGTCATCAGCAGTGAGGTGAATACAAACAACTGACTAGTGAGAGAGCAAATGCATTTAATGCAGATGTTAGAATGGCTATACAAAGTCAAAAGTTGCAGTTTAACCCCAACAAGTCATTACAAATAGATGTAGATCGTCATCAGCAGCGAGGCAAATACAAACAACTGACTAGTGAGAATCCGTACACTGTATCATCAGTGTCTAAAGCATGTTTACTTTGTGATTCACTAACCCACAAGGTAGTAAATTATACAGAAATTGACATGGGTTCGAAAAGAGAAATCTAGATAGGTAGGACCAGTGTTAGAAATGCTTCATCAAGAGGAATATGGCAAAAGATTGCAGAGTAAAAATTTGTTGTGAAATATGCAGTATATCTCATCATACATCTTTATGTTATTCTGGAAAGTAAAATTTGGAAATCAATAAACAATGTAGTAAAGCCGAAAATTATTTACTTACAGCAAATATATTAGATGATGCTTTAATGAGTTTGAAGGACAGGTCTAACAAAATTAATAGTCATTTTGATTCTTTACTTATGGTACAAGTAAGAATATTATAATAAAGTATTAAATGTTGCCATTGATACTCCCACTCAGATCAGTATTATAAAGAATACTGTTGTACCAGAGTATTGTAAAAGACCATGTGGAAGCATTATATTAAAATCTGCATTTGGACAGAAGGTTTATGCACCTTTAATAAATGTAAATTTAATGATGAGTTTGTAACCAAATATAGTGTACTCATTTGTTACAGTTGTGTGTGCTACAGTTGATAATCTATTACATTATTTACTATTAAGTTTTAGGGCTTATAATGGACTGATTGCATCTAAAAGTAATTTTGAAAGTTGCGTTAATGTTCTGAATGTTGATGAAATACAATGGTCTCATGAAAATAGTCCTGTTAGTTCTGATGAAGAGGATGTTGCAAGGGTTTTACTGAAAGTCCATCAGAAAACTGAGAAAAAAGAGGAAGGTAAAGAGGCTGATGATTTAAAATGTTTGAAAGGTCAAGGGAAAAAAAAGTACCAAAAGCTGTTAAGAAAGAAATGTCCTTTTGAAGAAGTTTAGGGATGATCCAAACCTGGATGAGAATAAGAAATTTTTTAGAGATTTTATTGTCGATAAGAAGTGTAAAGGAAAGTATAAAAATGATGAGATTCCGACTTATGAAGAAACAGACATTGCAGTGCTGAGTGACCATGAAAAAGCATGAATTGTTTGAACCTTAAGTGCAATTTCCGATTTGAAGAGCCAGATTCAAAATTCATTAAACAATATCCAAAGATGATTAAAGATTCTGTCAGATGTGTTGATAATAAAAGAAAAAAAAAAAAAAAAAGAGCATGAAGAACACATTGAAAGGAAAATTAAGAAGAAAGAGCAGGAAAGAGAAGAACTGAAATGTTTGAAAGCTTTAAAGAGTAAAGAACAGGCCTGGCCAAGATGAATTGAACCTTAATAAAGATGATATTGAGATTTTAATCCTGAAAAACATGCTCAGAAAACGAAAGAGCTTTTTAATGATGATTAATATGCTATTCAAGAAGAAGAATATCCAAAATTTCCATTTGATGAGGAACTTGAAGATTGGAACCACTGGATTGGACCAGGTAAAAGTGATGAGTTCAATGAAGAACAGCTTGAAGAAAGGACTTCTAAAACATCAGGTGTTGAAGTTACAAATTTTAAAAGTTATTCTAAATCAGAGTGTGAGAAAGAAATGATTGAGTTAACTCATACAGGCAGGATAAAGTTTAGAAAGAAATCCTTATTTGCTAAAGTAATTTCTAAACCTAAACCAGTTTTTAATCCGGATGGCAAAACGTTTGATGACTATTTGGATGAATGCTATAGATTAGATTATGAAGATATAAATAGTGATATGTCTGTCAGATTCAAATATAAGAAGTTAGGTAGTACCAAATGACTTTGGATTGACTATTGATGAAATTCTTATAGCTGATGGCAAATAATTAAGTCTTATGTTTGTATTCATACATGATTAATTAAAAAAAATTTTTTTTGGTAATTTTTTCCTCTAGTCGATTTCAATTAAAGTACTTTTTTTTTACACATGGTTTGAGCACCCACTTGAATGGGGAGGTGTGAGGCATTGGCGACCTCTATGAAGAACGAGGATGCCAATGCCAGCGAAGTGCAGGGTAAAAACAGTAAAACAGACCACGCAAAATGATTACAATTAATATATACATTGTACTTCAAAATGGATCACGTGGAATATGCTGAATGCTTTAAAAATGAAACAAAAGATCTTTAGAACAGTTTTGTAAGATACATGAAAGGTTGTTGTGCTGTATTATTACTCTGAATAAAAACATTTAAAAAACAATAGTTTATTTGATGTTTGATGCCGAATAATGTAAGAAAAGAACTCACAAACATCGGTCATGACACTGTCCTAAAGTTACATACATGCCATTTCAGAATAGACCTTAGCTTGGATAGGAGAACATCATGCTTTCGTTGTAGAGCAGTTTATTCACAACTGCAATTTGCTGACAAGATGTAATGGCAATACAGCGTGCTTTTTACGTACAATTTACTTGACTGCCGAGACACTATTTTCAACAAAAGAACCATTTATTGTTGGATATCCAATTTTGAAAGCTCTGAAGAAGATAGTGCTACAGGAATTTGTTGGCATTATGTCCAAAATTACTCATAAAATCTTGGATAACTATCAAGAAAACTCAGTCAGTGCTTAAAATATGGAGACCACCACCTGAGTGATGTTTTATTTAAATGAAAAACATGCTTTTCATGTAAAATGGCATTACATTTACTTCCAAGCAAGAGAAAATTTTCATATTTTATTTAATTTGGATTTTATTAGCTTACGAAATTAGAGACTTCTTAATACTACATTTTGCGTCTAAGTATTTCCTTTTTTTTTTTAATAAATTTTAAAACATGTGGACTGAACCAATGTGTTTCTATAAAATTTTCTTTTTCAGTACAAAGTAGGGAATGTTTTCATTTTCTAAAGTAATCCATTTACATTCAAGTATGCAAATAAATTGTATCATAAAGATCTGAATGTATTCTATAATGATGTTATGCTGTGATTGTAGAATGCCGATCTGCTGCTCTCTCAGCGATTGCACGAGGAGCCCATCGGTCACTTGCGATGCAAAACACATGTGCCTCATCATTTTTCAAACTACACTGATCAAGTATGTATAATTTTGTTCATGTATTAGAGTTTTACAGGGTAATGTAAAATACAGGATAGCTATACTCAACACAACAATCGGTTAGCACAATTGAGATAAATGATATTCTATCCCGCTTTATGTGAGGGATTAATAAATTAATGTAATAATTAAGTTTATAAAAGTTTTTAATCCCAAATTGTCCATAGATTGATTTGCATACTTGTCGATTATAATAGGCACTATTTATACAACAGGAAATCTGAGTGTTTTAGGCTTTTTGAAAAAAAGACAGTTAACAATATTTCGTATTGAATGTTGTGTTATTAATGTTATGTTGCAATGTTAATGTTGACTAAGAAATCTTTGGAATATGGTTTAATCATTAAAGAGTGGTTTGGTTTTCAGAATTTTAACTGTTTACAATTTTTTCTTTAAAAAGTGTTAGATAGATAGTTTTAATAAGTATTATAAAAGTTTTTTATTTTATGAAATTTTCCTGATAACCCATTTATGCAAAAGACTAAATTTCTGAATAAATATTTGGACTAGGTAACATATTTGTATTATTTTTTTAATGTTAATTCTTTTTTAAAATTATGTTGCTGATTGAATTGTCAAGTTATTATTGTGTATGATTTTATTATATGTTGTGTAACTAGGTTGCTAGTAATTTTTTTTTTTTTTGAAAGGATAGTCTTTTGATCATCTTTCTTGACCTTGTCCTTCTTTTTGAGCTCAGCAGAAATGCCAAATACCCTGTATTTCTAAATTAAAAATTCCATAAATTCTCATTTTTTTCTTAAATAGACCAACTGATTATTCTAAACAATTATTCAAACTTCCTCTGACTGAGGATAATCCTGTAGAAATCACAACAGTACTGAAACATATTCATTGTTCTCGCAACATTTAATGCTGATATTCAGCTCGGAGGTGGAAGAACTAGAGACGAAAAAATTTAGGTATAGATATTTTCAATATTGAGACCAACTTAATAAAGCTCATCAACATTTCAAAAAATTAGTTAATGCAGAATCTTAAAGATTATTGAAGACTATGTTAATTCTTTCTCTAGCAATAACTTTTTATAACACTTTGATGAAAATTGTACATTTTGGCAAATTGTAAGTTGTTAAATAATTTATTTCCAACATACCAGAAATTCTGTTATTCAAATTCAAAGTTATTCAAAGCTAACAGAAAAGCTGAATTTTAATATGGATCATCTTTCTGATGAAGTAACATTAATTCCCTTCCCCGAAAAAAAAAGATCTGAACCACCAAGTAGCAAATAGCGGAAAGTGCTGTTAATAAATGTATTAATATTAAAAAAATAGTTTGGTATCTGTGTTTAGTTCCTGCAATAACTGCATACTGTGAAAGAATTTTTAGTGTCTTGTAAACTAAATGGGGAAATAAATAAAAATTTGCCAGAATTTGCTGAAAAAATAAACAGTGATTTTCCATTTTCTCAAGTCTGCCAAAAATCATAATGTAACTTTAAAACTTAAATGTTTAGTTTTAAATATTTCAAGTATTTTTATTCTGTTTTTTGAATTAAATTTAATGCTGTTCTGTTATCAGGATCGAATTCAGAAGTGTATGCATATATGCACATGTGTGTGTATGTATGTGCATATGTATATGTGTGTACACACATAGATACATATGTACATACACATACATACATGAACATGTACATCCATATATGCAAACATACATACATACATTTCTGGATCCGTTTCCCTGATAACAGAACAGTATCAATTCTAATGACTATTCTAATAATGCATCTTTGGTATTTAATAAATCAATATATTATTACCTAAATTACTGAGCTAAAACTTATTTCGTTTGTTTTTGAAGCTTTAAAAAATTGTGTGTTCATATGAACAGTAAGTCTAAAATTGTATTCGAACAATTTTACAGTAATAATAAAAAAGGAATTATTGTATTTTGTTGGGTTCTTTATTGTGAATCCGCAGAGTTAGCAGCCCCAAATGTAACACTAGTTTCTATTTTTATCACCTTAGATTATTGTTACGAATTTTGTACATAGACAGATAATTTTAGTGAAATATGTGAAATTGTTGTATTTCTTTTGTATAATGTAACATGAAAATCTAAAGGAGTGAAGCTTGCCAAAAAAAGTATGAATACAGGAGAAAGTCTATTTAACATTGAGTAAATGGCAATCTCGCTAATTTGGTGAGATAACACTAAGATGGCAACGGTTTTGGCAACTAATTTTTGTTGCCCATTTGGTGACATTTTGGTCTGCTTCGTGTATCACTTTAATAGGTATTGTAATTGAATAAATGTAATTGATCACTATATTAGCTGTAACCATAATTGGGCCCCTGTATGCCTTCCAGTAATTTCGAGAAGTAAAAAATACTACAATATCTCGTTGGCCAGGTGAAACTATATAAGATAGGAGAGAGCATCTGCTCTCATTGTTGTTACAAGTTGTTAGTTCAGCCTGAGTTCGAAGTACTGAGGTATCTTCAGGTTAGCTGTCTCTTTAGATGTGCTTTGCATTGCGTTGTATTTTACGTTTGTAATAGTTTGAAGTGTAACTACTGATTGTACTCTGTGGTACTCTGAACATCTGTATATTTATTTCTGTGGAAAGTTCCAGAAATCTGAAGTGTTTCTTTTGATAAAATAAATTGTATCAACCTATCATCCAACCTGTGTGCATTTCAATCTATTGCAAACCTGTATATGTACAACAGAATGAATGGGTGTAATTTAAGTTATGTATTTCTGTAATCTTTCTTTGATAGAAAAACTGTAAAAATACAGTTCAATACAATATAAAAATTTTTTATGGAATTAGAAATTGTATTTTTAATGATTTTTCTTTTGATATTGATTGTAGAATATTTCATGAGATATATTTTTCAGCCGGATGAGCTTGTTATTGCATTTTCCACTGTTGTTGTGATTATCGATGGTTTTGGACTTTTTCAAACTCTACGAGCGTGCCGTAACCAGTTAGCTAGAGGTATGTAAAAATTTTAATGTGTATTTAGCATGTACTAAGTGTAATTTTTCGCATCATTATAAGCTTTTATTTAGTTTAATGTTGTTTCAGTATGGTTGGAATTTTGTGTTCACCCATTTTAAAAATGAGAATGGTAAAAAAAATATTAACTGAACAATATTTTCCATTTTGCATTTTGTTTTTAACATTTAATTTTGAAAAAAGTATTTTTGAATTTGGTGTCTGAGTGCACTTAATGATGAAGTGGCGATATTTTATTTTTCATCTTAACTTTAAGTGACATTCTAATTGTAATGTTGTTATTACATCCAATTAAAAAAAATTGAATATTTGAAGTTATTTCTTCCTTCTCTAAATCATGTTCAGTTATTTTTCTTTATTTCATAATTTTCTTATAATTTATTGCTTCTATTTTAATAATGTCTAAAAATTTGATTGATGATGTGTAATTCAGAAGGTTTAACACAGGAAGTTTCTATTTAAAATTGATATGTTAATTGATGTACTAAAAGGCAAAGAGTAATTGATCATGTAGGTAATTGAAATCGTAGATTAAATAATTCTATTTACAAAATTTATCTACAATTTTATACTACAAGTATTAAAAGCATGGGATGCCTAATTAACAATTATATTAATTGAATTGCATAATCAAATGTATAAGCCATTATCTTTTTAATATTTCTATTAATTTAATTGCATTGTCAAATGTATGAGCCGTTATCTTTTTAAATTTCTCATGGGTGCCCTATGCTTTAATTATTTACAGTATAAAATTATAGGTGAATTCTATGAATAGAATTATTTATTATTCCTATTAAACTGTAAGATTAATTATTTTTCTCCTTTCATTTCATTAATTACCATATCCATTTTAATATCGTACTTTACCATTATTACACTTTGGCATTGAAATGGCTTGATTAAAAAATTTCTTCAGATATTTATAAACTTTCTAGAGAGAGAGAGAGAAGGAAAGAGCTAAAAACAATTTTTCATGCATATAAGTCAAATATTCAAATTGTGCTTATATATTTCCTATGGTAGCAAGTAATATTTTAGATTTCCTTCTTCTTGAAAGTTATAAATGTTTATGAATATCTGAAAGCATAGATGTAATACTATCAGTGAAGGTAAATTGCAGAAACAAAATCAAGAATTGCTAGAATAATTTTTGTGATTGCCATTATCTTTAATTTTTCTTTCTAGTTTTTAGCTTTCACAGATTTATTTCCAAAACATTTCATCTGTTTCATCATAAAATAATTTTAAAAAAAAAGTATATTTCTGTTTTGTTATTTGAATAGCAATATTATTGAAGCATTTTGTATTGCTTGTGTTTCACATTGGTTCATTTTACAAAAAATATGGAGAACATGTGATTATTTTAAAAATTCATAAACATTTCTTGTAGTATTTCTCACATAGATTGTCAGACATCTATTGGGTGTTTAGGGGTATGGACCACTATAGTAAGTGGCTAAATAAATTTCCTCTATGATTTTGTGATTCATTTACTGATAGTAAAACATTTTTTTGAAGAGCAAAATCAGCAATTTTTAAATTTAAATTATGAAATAGTTCAGTAATTTAACATTTCTTAGCCAGAGAGTTTGAAAAAGATTTTTTAGAAATGCATCTCTCAAGAAAAGTATTCTAGTATAATCAAATTTATCAAATATATTCTGTCTCAATTTTGGATATACATATTTGTGTGAATTGACTTTTTCACATTTAACATTCACAGAGAGTAAACATCATTCCCTTTGTAATGATTCCCATACAAGATTCATTATCTTTCTGGATGCACATCATTACGAATACTTAGTTGGACACGTGTGCATTTTTCTCACTATTTAAAAGCAGTGTGTCACCACTGCCGGAAATAAAATACTTTTATCTTCCACATGCAAGCATGTTGCTGTTGAGTAAAGTGTAAGATATTTGATGTTCTTATTTAATCTCTCTGTTATTGATTAACAAACTACATGATTTAAAAGCAATAAGTACTTTTTTTAAGAATATTTTTTCCACTTTTTGTTCTGATTGATTTAAATTGGGCAGTGTCCAATTAGAAATATTAAATATTTTTATAAAATGACACTAAGTGGACTCATTAAAATCATTTTTCCATGTTATGATAACAATTTTAGGTGGCTGGCTGGGCAAGCAGCTAGTATAAGTAAAAAGGCAGAATTTCGAATGACAAGGAATACATATAATCTTTTACTTATATAAGTGATTATTAGGAACATATATAAACATCAATACTGAACATTACTTCTCTATGATAACCACTTTCATAAAATACTAGAATCACCATGTGGTTATTTTAGAAAGGTTGTAATTCATTAAAATCATCTACTATAATTTAGAAAATGTTTTTATGTTTTTAATTTTCATAGCAAAGTGTATTACAGTCAAAAGTCGTTAATCTGGACTCATCGGGACTTCGGCAATTCCCGATTATCAATTTTTCCGGATTATAGATCATCAGTTTAAATCTCATAAGATGGCATGCAGAAATTATAAAATTAAAAATATGAAACCATAATTTATGAAATAAAGAACAATTATGATCTAAAGGGTATCAAAATTTACAAAAAAAAAAAAAAGCTTAACATTTCTTTCAATGTAAATTGTTTAAGTTGCTTCGTTTTATGTGATAATACTTTCTCTTTAATTCTATAAACAGACATAATTTCTTGTTCAGTTACAAAGTTCTGTTGTTCAAGTCCCGTAATTGCTGTGCAGAGAATACCGACTAACTTGTCAATCGAAATTTTTTCGTTTTCACTAACCTCTCTGTCACTTTCTTCATGTCTTTATCCATTTTTTGCAGCAATTCCACTTTTTGTTTGATGGACATCGAAACATACTTTCGTTTTGTAGATCCTTTGGGAGCTTCAGCATCGGAAATTCTATTTGACATAATCGAAAGTTCAAGTTTACTTTTATAAAATTGCTCTTACAGTCTGAAAAAAGTAATAAGCTGGATCCAATTCGAAGATTAAGGAACAGCGCAATCTGCAACATTAACTTAAATAGCCTTAAAATCAGTAAATATAATTTTAGCCTAGCTTATACCGTCCGTTATACATTAAACGCGCACGCGAAAAACGTATTCTGAACTTGCGCACATGCAAATGCGCAATCGTAAAGGTCTTATGCGCATGCGCAGAAAGTTTTTAGCTTTGAGGTCCGTATTATAGATCATTTCGGATTATGAGTGTCCGAATTAACGACTTTTGACTGTATACAGAATCTTTACTTCATATTAGTTACATTATTTATTAAAATTATTCTTGTTATAGTAATTATTAAGCTCATCTATGTTCCTGCATTGAAATGTTATTTATCAGATAAAAGTTGACTTTCTTGCAATGAATTTGGTTGCAATTTAAATTTAAAATTTAAAACTCTTGAAACTTGGGGGGGGGGAACTAAAAAAATAAGGCTTCTTGGTGGGGGGAGGAGGTGAAGTAAAGCCCTATCAATGGTCAAGTGATTAAGATAATTTAATAACAGAAACTTGATCCTGGGTGCAGTTTTCAGTAACAGAACAAGGTGGATATGTAGATTATTTTTGCCTTTTCATAACTTAGTTTTTAAATGTCATCAAGAATATCGATGAATTGTTAACCGCAATCCTAATATAAACTGCTTAAATTTTGCAAAATAGAGTTCATGCAGGGTTCGTACGGTCCTTAAAAGTCCTTAATTTTTTCAAAAATGATTTTTGCTCCTTAAAAGTCCTTAATTTTGGCCAAAATGAATAAATGGTCCTTAATTTTGCTCATTTGACATTTCTTATCATTTCTAATGATTGCCATTCTAAGTGTGAATTGCGAATTTCTCATGAATATGAAATTAAAATTACACGACTCTTAACCAATCTGTTGGCGGATTTGCGTTGCAAACGATAAAAAAAAAAAAAAAAAAAAAAAAAAATTACCAATTAGCCTACCGAATGAAAGTATCGGGGTCTGATTGGCTATTCACCCAATGTTTTGAAACAGGTGTTATCCATAAATTTAGGCAGATTGTGACGAAAGCGGGAAGCCGGTTCTTTAAGAGGCGAAAATGATGATGAAGGTGCTCGAAAAAAAAAAGGGGGGATTCTGAAAATATTTGCCAAAATTACAGCAATCCCAACCTGGAAGGCCACAACCCTTCCGATGCCAATAGGAACAATGCCTGGAAATTGCATTTTCAATAACTGTGGCTCATCAAGCTGACTACAAAGACTGGATTTGATGATGGCAATCCTTAAATGTGGTCTTTGTCTGAAACAAATTGAAATTCTAGAATGGAGAGTCAGTGCTGAAAATTCACATGAAATTAAGTTTCGTTTATCATTTCAATTTGTTTTTACAGGTTTTGCTAGCTTAATTTCTGTGTTTGTTTCATTTACCATACATTAATTTTTTATCACCTTCTACGGAGTTTATTCTCTTTTGCACAAACTATATGTATGGATATCGGATTATGAGTTTATTTCTGCAGAGGATCTGTTATCGATTTTCGGGAAATCTGGCTCTGTTTTCGATTTTAGGTCACCAAGGGCAAATTCGGTACGCTAGCCGAGAAAAAGTGAAGTTCGGAAATGCGTTTTGAGCTTCAATATCAATTAAGTATTTGGTTTAAACCTATGTTGTGATATGATGCATAATTTTTGCTAATGGCAATACAATCATTAGTTGAAAATAACTAACTAATTAAAAATTTTTTAATATTTTTAAAGCTGAAAACAACTAATTGAAACTAATTTTCCTGAATTGGCAAAATTAACTCACTAATTAATTAACTCATTAATTAATTAACGCAAAATTAACTTTCATGAATTACTAAAGTTATTGGGTAGAAGTTTAACTGAAAATATACATTCCGTATTATATATATATATATGTATACAGACTTGCCAACTCTCCCGATTTAGGCGGGAGACTCCCGATTTTCGACCGCTCTCCCGCCAACCCGATTTACAATATATTTCTCCC